ATCAGCACCGTCAGAGACATTGTGAGTTTTGGATTAACAGAAGGACTAATGTGGGTCCTGTTTCTCTTTGTTGGGGACTATCTAATGAATTTATTTTTGTGGGGGACTAATTTGGGCACCGAGTTTTTTGTCAGGGACCAATTTGGACATTTACTCAAAATAAAAATAAAAAATCGAATCACTTATGTACAAAAAAAAAGTAATTGAATCACTTGAATGTGTAAAAAATATCGCTCGGAACGGAATATCAATAAGTTTTGAGGATAATTTTGTAACTACAACCATGATACTCTCTAACAAGTGTGTGTATTTTTTTTCGTACCAAAATAAAAATAAAAATACACACACTTGTGAGAGAGTAGGCCTTTTCAGCAATCATTATCCAGTTCAAAAATGTTTTTGCAATTATTTATTTTAGAAAAACATAGCATTATTGTTGATGTGACCTAAGAAACTTGCCATAATTGTTGTCATATAGAAATTAAAGTATTATATATATGTTTTTTGGCATAATTTTAGGGAATAACATATTATATCTATATTTTTTTATGTTTATTTTATTTTTATTTTTATTTTATCAGTATCGTTATATTGCAATCTCAATTAATCTTTATCAATTTTATCTCATTTTGATATTGTGATCTAATCGTGTTAGAAATAAGTAGATAAAGTAAATATAAAAAAAGATAATTATAATATTTTATCCCTAATTTTATTACTTGTATTTTTTTTATTGCTGTCAATGATATTCATTTGAAACAAACAGTTTTATTAATATATTTTTTTCAAACCCAATTAAAGGTATATCATTTATATTTAAATTAAAGAAATTCTAAGAATGATTTTTTTATGACTCGTATATCAATTGTTTATTTAATTTTAAATCGATCTTTTAGAGTTTATTTGTTACATATTCCTTGGGAAGTAACTGTATTTCCTCTTGTTTATTCCTTGATGAAGGGAAGGTGTCATCTTGAGTACTTATAAATGGCTTCATTAATTGCATCATTCCAATATTTTGATACACATTTTCTTATATTTTGAGGGGTTATGTAATAATAATCCTAAAAATTCATTAATTGTAACATTTAAATTCAACCATAATTGTACAAAATATTTTGGAGAGGTAAAAAAAACTTAAGATCCAGATTATATTATACTTTTGGATAAAATAAAAAAGGGTTCTATTTTTATACAATTTTTTTTTTATCTATAACAAACATATATTTATCAAAATTCAATGTCGGATGATAAATAAAATATTTTTGTCGCAACGATAGAAATACTTTCTTCAATAAAAAAAATTGACATGATTAAAGATAAGAGTTAAATTCGAAGAAAGATATACCCAAATGTGCAAATATCCACATGTTTGTAATCAGGACAAACAAATGAAGAAGGTCCGGACAATAGGCATTATTGATGAACATGAACACTACACGACAATGGAATGTACATGATCCACAAACGTAGTTAACCAGGTATTTCTTTCCATCATGGTCCCACTCTTGTGGTTATCCTTCATCGCACCGTTGCCTACATATTGCACACAAGTAAACATCACATATACTGCACCAATACTGATATGGGATATGATATGATGTTCCAATATTTTAATTTTAAAAAATAATAGATTTTGACACATTAAGACATATTTTAATATTAAATAATATTTTTAATTTATGTAGTGTATATTATATTTAATATTCAATTATTTAACAAAAAAATGAAACTAAACTTATAATACCCATCAATTTTGCAAGATATTTCAAATATTTATATTAAACTCAATAAATTATTATCGTAATCCAACGAATCTAATAGTTGAAACTAAAAAATAATATAACGTAACTTTGAACTCTTTTTTTAGTCTATGCAATACGTGTTGGAGTGTCGAACACGACATATCAATTTTTTTGAAATATCGTTGCATCATAGAACATCGATATATAGCTTAAAAATAATAATAATAATAAGACATTAGTCTTATTTATTGGGTAAGTATAATTAGGTCTTCTCATAATTTCAATCATGATGGCTGCAAGAGCGAGCTGTGCTTTAGGTTTGGATAATTATTAGGTTGCATTTTGATCGCGATTCACATATTTTTGCCTTTTCATTTGATCAAAAACATTTTTTCTTTAGTGTTTTTATTATTTACCATAAATCTCGGAAGAAAAAAAAAACTTTTGACCAAAATACCTAAATTATGTATTGTTTAGATCTGGATCGTAGTTGGTGATGTTAATTGTGCATATTAGAATTTCATCTGATTTTTTTTTATTTTTTATAACCCATAGGTATTTTTCACGGGAGACAATCCGGTTTGGAGTGGGTAAAAGATTAAGCTTTAAACCCCGCTTAATTTTTTAAAGATGGTAACGGGAAGGATCAAATATATATTCTCACTTCTATCTGCTCAGCTCTCATATGTCAACTAAGCTACCGTCGTTTTGGTTATATGATTTCTTACTTTATCTATCAATCATTGGCGATGATCCGTTGGGCATTCAATTGGGCAAGTGGTGGTAGTGCACTGCGGGGATTCAATCCTCAAGTCACTAGTGATTTTATTATTTACCATAAATCTCGGAAGAAAAAAAAAACTTTTGACCAGAATACCTAAATTATGTATTGTTTAGATCTGGATCGTAGTTGGTGATGTTAATTGTGCATATTAGTATTTCATCTGATTTTTTTTTTTTTTATAACCCATAGGTATTTTTCACGGGAGACAATCCGGTTTGGAGTGGGTAAAAGATTAAGCTTTAAACCCCACTTAATTTCTTAAAGATGATACCGAGAAGGATCGAATATATATTCTCACTTCTATCTGCTCAGCTCTCATATGTCAACTAAGTTACCATCGTTTAGGTTATATGATTTCTTACTTTATCTATCAATCATTGGCGATGATCCGTTGGGCATTCAATTGGGCAAGTGGTGGTAGTGCACTGCGGGGATTCAATCCTCAAGTCACTAAAGTCCATATATGACCAAGAGTGGATAAAATCAAGATGCATGTCTTATTAGGTAAAAAGAGTATCATACTGTTATAAAAAAAAAAAGAGAGTATCATACAGCTAAAATAAAGTTGAGAAAAATAGAAATTTCAAGACAATATTAACCAAATAAATTGGTTATATAAGTAAAAATTCAATCGAAGTTTCTCCGTACACAACGGTAGCCAATTAAATAATCACAAAATATAAGGTTATGCCTTTTAATCATTTTTCTAGACATTAACAATGTAATTAATTTTATCTTAATTCCACCAGTCAGGAGATCAACAAATATGTTAATTGAAGTGACACACAAGATTTACATGAAAATCTCAATTGAGAAAAAAAAAACAAGATCAAAAAAGATTTTTATTTTGTGAAAGAAATTATAACATCTCTCTAAAATACAAGTAGATTTAATCATCCCTTATATTGAGGGGATACACCTAACTTAAAATAACACATAAAAGACACTTGATATTTTTATCTCTAAATTGGGATTATAAAAATCGTTAGCAAGCACTATATTTATAGGCATATGCTGCTGCAAATTCTGGGTAGCCCAAATTCAAATGATGTATGATTTGTAAAAGTTGATTCTGTGCTAAATTTTTACACGAGGATTAGGGGCATTTTCGTCTGACCTCGGGACATTCATTTTTTAACTTGCCTTGTCATTTGTGATTTTTACATCATTTTACACATAAATCTGAATTGTACGGGAAAAATGGTTGTCTAGTATTTTTTTCCTAAACTTCTACCAAACATGGTATAATTAAGGGGACGTTTGGTTGAGGAGAAATTTTAAGAATAATAGGAAAATGTTATTGACAGGGAAATGAGTTTGGTAGAAAAATGTAAAAAAAATTGTTTCGTTGTAAAAAAATTTACCAGGAAAATTATGTAACATTTATAAAATCTATGTTTGATTGTAGGTAAAATATAGATGGGAAAAAAAAATTAATTTTACAAAAATAACCCTGTTTTAAAATTGAAATGATTCCATCAACATGAACATCTTCTCTTTTATCTGTGCAAGACTTTGTTTGTACGAAAGTGACAACATACAACTCACCAAATAGATGCCTCACCTTTTTCACTTTCGCGCAATTTTCATGGAGGGCACGCTCGTCAATTGGTGAAACCACTTACATTGATAACTTGGAATACCACCTCTGATTTGGGAAAAAAATGCAGGCTATTTCCATGAAAAACATATGCAAATGGGTTAGATGGAAATCTCACTTAAGTAGATAAATATCAGAAGCCGCTCAACCAAACAACGTCAACATGCAATCCCACTTCTCCATTTTCCTATCTATCTTTCCAAAATCCTCCAACCAAACATCCCATAAATATCCACTCTCATTTACCCATCCATCCCACAACAAACCACCTACCAAACAGGCAAACACCCCCTAAACCTTTTTAACGGAATAACAGGGAAGCTTTGAAGGTTGACAACAGCGCGCCGCAAACTTATCATCCTTACAAAATTTGCATAAAAGGAACTTTATGAATATTTAATATTTCCCAAATAACCATCTTATAAAGCATCTTATAATGGTTGAGAATGTCAATTGAAGAGAATTTTTTCTTCCATAGGATTTCAATTCATCAAATAAAAGGACGCAATCACCACTAAAACAAAGGATAAAAGGAAAACACGACTATTATTATTTTAATTAAAGAGGTTGGGATACAACAGTTTATCAAAAAAAAAAAAAAAAAAGAGGTTGTGATACAAGCATTATTTTTTTATTGGCACACCAAAGGGTACTAGGCCCTAACAAAAACAACAAGAAAACCGTAACAACAATAGGTATGGAACTCACAACAGAAACACCATAAACAAGTATGCTAGTCTTGATGTTCCAGTTCGCCAGCCAGTCCCTACAAATACTATAATTATACTTTAACTCATTAATTAAAATGGTTTTATTTTTCTGCAACTGTGGCAGAAAGATTCATCCGCCACAATCACATATTCATCAGGATACGACGTAGAAATACTTTTGCCTAATTAAAATGCACTGATACAAAAACGATTGAGCCAACACAAAATAGTTATGTCTACTTGAAGAACTCCATAACATAGAAGCCAGCGACAAAGCAGGCGAATCTGATGCAAGTAAATCCAGATCCTAATGCCAATTCCATGAATTCTTGTCGGGTTCGTTCTCTCCCTCCTGGGGTTTGATTCATCATGATAAGGTCAAATTTGAAACCAAGCTTGGCATTAGCTGTATTCTCAGGCAAAGCTGGAAGAACATGGTCCACAACAATTACTTTTCCATCATTGGGAATAGCCTTATGACAATTCTTCAACAACTTCAAGCATTGTTCATCAGTCCAGTCATGAAGTATCCACTGAAAAATAGTAGCACGGGTCATTTTCAAAATTCGAATATATAAAGTTATCCCTAAAAATACAAGAGTGAAGGTGGAAAAAAATTGAAAGTTTGTATTGGCTTCTTTTTAAAAAAATAATAATTAATAAACCTAAAACCACTTGAGATTGAAATTTCATGCAACTAATTATGGGAATTATTGTACATTAATTGAGAAAAATTATATGGATGATTCCTTCAAAAGCTTGAATTTACCTTCATGACAATGGCATCTCCATTAGGAACACTCTCAAACATATCACCTCCCTCGTGTTTCACCCCTGCAACATTAAAATAAATTAAATAATTCAACTCATAATATTCAAAAATTGTAAAGGCTTGTATATATAATTTTCTTCCGAGTTAGGATTTGCAACAAATAAATTAAATGACGTTCAAAATATACCGGCATAGATAGGGGCATGCTGTAACACGTGAGGCAAGTCAAAATTAACACCGTGGATATGAGGATATTTGGAAGTAATGAGTTTGAGATTGATCCCAAGACCACCACCAACATCGACCAGTGTATTTACGTGCTCAAAACCATCGTAGCACTCAAGAATCCTCTTCATGACCATAGCGGTTACGCTAAACATAGCTTTGTTGAAAACATCATTGTACCTGGGATCCAGACTCAGATACTCAAATAAATGCATGCCATAAACCCTGTTGAATGGTACACCACCTTCCATTATAGCTCCTTTCAAGTCTGTCCTGTAAGTCAATGCAAATCATTCATTTTCACAAAAAGGGCAAACCCCAATACGAGGTCAATTATACGCAATTTTACCTTTACATTTTTTGTAAAAGAGATTTTTTTTTTTTTTTGTTAAATTTGAACTTGTTAAATTTAATGTTGCTCCATGACTAACCCTCGAATAATGAATTTGAAAATGTGTTGGACTTCATTGTTAATATTAAACATCTAGTTTATTACACCAATTTTATTTATAAGAAAAAAAATAGAAATGATGATAATGAATAATAAGAGTAGAAGACAAAACATATCATTATCATCATCACGATTAAACTAACCAGCTTTCCATCTGGATCTTGTCCAGATTTAAGTTCAAGATGGCTCCGAGTGACACACCATCATTATCAGTCACAAAATACTTGGACAAAGGGGAGAGACAATAGAGCATTGTGTGTGCTTCTCCACCAAGTGAGCAATATAGAATGGAGTGATGACTAGCCAACAACCTCAGAAGACGATCCAACATTTTGGTTGCTTCTGGGTTCTTTGCACCAATTTGAACTGCAATGTCCTCTGCAGAGAGCTTCACACCTTCACCTGCTTTGGCTAGGATGTCGAAGATACCCATCTCAATTGCGGACCGAATCGCCAGAGGAACCACGACGGAATTCATCATGTTCATGGCAAAAAGGATGCCATCTTCTTCTTGTGTATGTCCTTCTTCTTGTTTAAGGTTCTTGGCTTCATCATTTTTCGTTTCTAATGAAGAAGCCATAATAAGATTTGAATGCTAAAAATGCAAAGAGAGAGAGAGAGAGAGAGAGAGAGAGAGAGAGAGAGAGAGAGAGAGAGAGAGAGAGAGAGAGAGAGAGAGAGAGAGAGAGAGAGAGAGAGAGAGATGAGCTAGATGTTGTTTTTTAGTGCATGAAGTGTATGCTTATAGTATAGGGTATATATACAAGTGGCAAAGCAGACGGCCTGCCTCGCCCTGCCCCACCCCGTCCCGCCCGTCATTAACCTGTCAAAAAATGAGTCAGTGTGTGGCCAGTCAGCTTGAGTCTATTTTACATTGACCCGTCTCGACCCGTCATCAATCTGCCAAAAAATAAGTCCATCCCATCTAGTCCTATTTTTGAGATCGGTTGAAAATCTCAGTCTGTCCCGCTCCGTTTAACGGGTTGGACGGATTGGCCCGTCGAGCCAAGCTCGTTTTGACGGCTCTAAATATATATATATATATATGTTTGCGCGCGTTCCCATGGAAAAGCTGCTTTTTTTTTTTTTGGTAATCCAGCAAAACTGCTTTTTAGTACACTTGTATATTGTTTGGTTGAATTAGAATGTGTTTTTATTTTCATCACACCTAACGTCCTTGCAAAATTTTCACGTTCCATTGTCTGTTACATTATTGACATTAACAATATTTTTATTTTAAATTAATCGAGATTGGTAGTAGATGAATTTAAATAAAATATATGAAAAAATTGAAAAAATAAAAATAAAAATATATACAATATTATCCATAAAAATAGTAGTAAACAATTACAAGAAAAAAAAAATGAAAATAAAGATATATTAGACGATAAAAAATAAAAAATAAAATAAAAAATAGAAGGACAAAAGAGAAAAAGTAAAATAAAAAAAATAAAAATAAAAATAAATAAATAAAAGAAAAATGATTGAAAACAAAATGAAATAAAAGAAAAGATTTAAAAAAGGAAAGCTAGAGAAAGAAAAAGAAAGAGATCATGCGGGGTGATGGAAAGAGAAGAGAGATAATAAAAAAATATTAGCCCGCGTACTTTTATATATATATATATATATATATATATATATATATATATATATATATAAGAAATAAAAAAAAATTCTACAATATTAAGTTCGTAAAAATAATACAAAAGATTTGTATTCACAGCAGTCAAAGTATTTATTAATTGCTGGGCACATTACAGATTTAGTACATAGGCTCGAAACACTTATTTCATCGACACTGAAAAAACTAATAAGTAAACAAAAACCATGTCCTGCTGACTAAGAGAAAAATGTTTTCGATCGGCTTTTCTTTTTCTTTTTCTTTTTCTTATTATTAAAGCAATGGGTTCTACATAATATTGTGTTTGCAGGAAACCCACATCCTCTACTGTAACATGAGAGACTTAAACCCTAATATTTATTTATTTTTTTAAAAGTGAGTCTCACATATTTTGTATCGATAATAAGAGATAACAAGTTTCATAAAACATGGTATTTGTATTCCTTTTTAAATAAATATCCATTAAAATATACTCCCACAAGTAACAAGATACTCTAAGTTATTTTAATGAGTTCATTTTTTTGCAAACTTATCTGCACAGTCCAAAATGATATTGTTTTGGGACAAAAATTAATGTGTTTTTATAATTATGATTTGTTTTAAGGTTATAATAGTCTTTTATCATTATAATTTTTTAATCTTTCAACTCAAAACGACGTCGTTTTGAGAGTGAATATAAATAACTTGTTTGCATTCAATGTAAAAATATTAAAGCCTATTTTAATTATAGGGAATATTAATATCTAAGTTATAGAAGATAATGTATCTCATGCTATAGAAATAATCGATGTGGAGCCCCTCGCTTCTTTTTTTTTAAAAAAAAGGAGTCCAATGTTTTTCGATGTGAGAGTTAGAGATAAAAAATTTATCCTACAATATAAGAAATTTTTATCCCTTTAATTATAGCATAAAATACATTATTTAGCTATGTAATTGCATTTTCGGTCATAAATTAGGGTAAAGTATTTTTTCAGTCACCGGAGATAAGTGACTCCCAAAACTATAATTTTAGACGAATTAAAAACCGCTGCTTCTGTAAAATTCATGGGATACAAAAACAAAACAAAATTACGAAAAGATCACTCACTAATTCAAAACGACGTAGTTTTGGGGTCACTGGAGATAACTTATCTTCAATGACTGAAGAAATAATTTACCCCATAAATTATGATACCAGACATTTTATCAACTTTACTTCGTTCCAAAGCTAATAATTCAACAACAAAAAATCCCATAATAAACTAAGGGATTATTATTTCTCAGGCTGTAGGAAATAATTTTATCTCCTGTATATAAATAAAAATATATGAAATCCATATGAGAACAAGAAAAAAAATGAGCTCCACATATTTTTATATTTGTGTAAGAAATAAAATTATCTCTAAGAGATATTAATCCCATAAACTAAAAGTAATTGAATCTATTACAAAAATAAAAATAAAAATAAAAGTAAAAGTAATTGAATCACTTATGTACAAAAAATAATAATTGAATCACTTGAATGTGTAAAAAATATCGCTCGGACCGGAATATCAATAAGTTTTGAGGATAATTTTGTAACTACAACCATGATTAAAATACACACACTTGTGAGAGTAGGCCTTTTCAGCAATCATTATCCAGTTCAAAAATGTTTAAACATAGCATTATTGTTGATGTGACCTAAGAAACTTGCCAGAATTACTGTCCTATAGAAATTAAAGTATTATATTATGTTTTTTTGGCATAATTTTAGGGAATAACATATTACATCTATATTTTTTATGATTATTCTATTTTTATTTTATTAGATTACAATCTCAATTAATCTTTATCATTTTTTTCTTATTTCGAGATTGTGATCTAATCGTGTTAGAAATAAATAGATAAAGTAAATATAAAAAAAGATGAATTTAATATTTTATCCCTAATTTTATTACTTGTATTTTTTTTTTATTGCTGTCAATGATATTCATTTGAATCAAACAGTTTTATTAATTTGTTTTTCAAACCCAATTAAAGGTATATGATTTATATTTAAATTAAAGAAATTCTAAGAATGATTTTTTTATGACTCGTATATTAATTGTTTATTTAATTTTAAATCAATCTTTTAGAGTTTATTTGTTACATATTCCTTGGGAAGTAACTGTATTTTCTCTTGTTTATTCCTTAATGAAGGGAAGGTGTCATCTTGAGTACTTATAAATGGCTTCATTAATTGCATCATTCCAATATTTCGATACACATTTTCTTATATTTTGAGGGATTTTGTAATAATAATCCTAAATTCATTAATTGTAACTTTTAAATTCAACCATAATTGTACAAAATATTTTGGAGAGGTGAAAAAAATCTTAAGATCCAGATTATATTATACTTTTGGATAAAATAAAAAAGGGTTCTATTTTTATACAAATTTTTTTTATCTATCACAAACATATATTTATCAAAATTCAATGTCGGATGATAAATAAAATATTTTTATCGCAACGATAGAAATACTTTTTTCAATAAAAAAAAATAGACATGATTAAAGATAAGAGTTAAATTCGAAGAAAGATATACCCAAAGGTGCAAATATCCACATGTTTGTAATCCGGACGGGTTCTGAAAACAAATGAAGAAGGTCCGGACAATAAGCATTATTGATGAACATGACACTCCACGACAATGGGATGTACATGATCCACAAACGTAGTTAACCAGATATTTCTTTCCATCATGGTCCCACTCTTGTGGTTATTTTTCATCGCACCGTTGCCTATATATTGCACAGAAGTAAACATGATGTATATTGCACCCATACTGATATGAGATGTGAATATGTGATATAATGGTCTGATATTTTAATTTTAAAAAATAACAGATTTTAACACATTAAGACATATTTTGATATTAAATAATATTTTCAACTTATGTAGTGTATATTATATTTAATTTTTAATTATTTAATAAAAAAATGAAACTAAACTTATAATATCCATCAATTTTGCAAAGAAACATAAGATATTTCAAATATTTATATTAAACTCAATAAAATTATTATCCTAATTCAACGAATCTAATAGTTGAAACTAAAAACGTAATATAACGTAACTTTGAACTCTTTTTTTTAGTCTATGCAATACGTGTTGGATGTCTGACACGACATATCAAGTTTTTTGAAATATCGGTGCAGATATATAGCTTAAAATAATAATAATAATAATGATGATAATAAGACATTAGTCTTATTTATTGGGTAAGTGTAATTAGGTCTTGTCATAATTTCAATCATGATGGCTTCTAAAGCGAGTTGTGCTTTAGGTTTGGATAATTATTAGGTTGCATTTTGATCGCGATTCACATATTTTTGCCTTTTCATTTGATCAAAAACATTTTTTCTTTACTGTTTTTATTATTTACCATAAATCTCGGAAGAAAAAAAAAACTTTTACCAAAATACCTAAATTATGTATTGTTTAGATCTGGATAGTAGTTGGTGATGTTAATGGTGCATATTAGAATTTCACGTGATTCTTTTTTTTTTTTATATAACCCATAGGTATTTTTCATGGGAGACAATTTGGTTCTGAGCGGGTAAAAGATTAAGCTTTAAACCCCTCCTAATTTCCTAAAGATGGTATCGGAAAGGATCGAATATATATTTTTACCTCTATCTGTTCAGCTCTCATATGTCAACTAAGCTACCATCGTTTGATTATATGATTTTTTACTTTATCTATCAATCATTGGCGATGATCCGTTGGGCATTCAATTGGGCAAGTGGTGGCAGCTGTGATACACCGACAACGTTATTTTTTTGAAAAAATCCGTGTCGGACACCGACACGCGGTCAATATTTTAAGACACGTTGACTATGTGGACACGCAACTTTGATCTAGTTGGACACGGTCAAAGGATAAAAACGTAAAAAAATTGAATTTTTTATAAAATTAAAATCTGTAGATCAACGAGAAAAAGCTCTTCCAATATTT